TCGACACCGTAAGGGGGTGCGCAGGGGGTGGTCTCTCACCGCGGCCGCTATCCGTGACGGTCGTCCAGGGCACAGCAGGCATGGCAGATTCTCGACACCATAGGGGGTGCGCAGGGGGTGGTCTTTCACCGCGGCCGCTGTCTGTGACGGTCGTCCAGGGCACAGCAGGCATGGCATATTCTCGCCACCAAAGAGGGGTGCGCAAGGGGTGGTCTCTCACCGCGGCCGCTATCCGTGTTGGTCGCCCATGGCACAGCAGGCATGGCATATTTTCGACACAACTGGGGGTGCGCAAGGGGTGGTCTCTCACCGCGGCCGCTATCCGCAACGGTCGTCCAGGGCACAGCGGGCATGGCATATTCTCGACACCATAAATGGGTGCGCAGGGGGTGGTCTCTCACCGCGGCCGCTATCCGTGACGGTCGTCCAGGGCACAGCAGGCATTGCATATTCTCGACACCATAAGGGGGTGCGCAGGGGGTGGTCTTTCACCGCGGCCGTTATCCATGACGGTCGCCCAGGGCAGAGCGGTATCGGCGGGGCAGCGGCCACCAACATCATTCTCACATGCTTCACTTCAGCCCTCATCACTCCAGCCATAATATAAGTATGTGGGGTTCCTCGGTAGCGTAATGTCATGTTCCAGGCTCGTCAATGGCAAGGAGGTCTCAGGCCAGACGCCCAGCCCGCCCTTCCGACCAGCCTCGGAGTGCGACGTGTAGTACAGTTGAGACGCATTCCGACAAACACCCTGCTCTCCTCCAGGGTGCCCAGGGTTTCTTGGGTTCCGATGGTTTTTCGATGGGAAGCGTCACGCTCCCACGCCAACAATCGATGGACGACCTGGGGTCTCAGGTTTGGGTTTCTTGTGGAAGGTTCCTTGTGGTCGGGCCCCTCCTGCAGTTATTGACGAGGGGAAGGAGTAGAGGATGACCACTATTGTCAAGCCAGGGTTCAACAACGACGTTGGAATACATCCTCCCTCCAAACTCCCGTTTTTGGACCCCTACACGGGCTCATTTCCACTAAGGGAAGTGCCCCGTCTGGGGACAACCGTGTGAAAAACCCTAAAGCGTGCCAAAACACCGATCTTGGGTCTTCAACGCCACGAGTCGACCTGACTGTTGCGTCTTGGCGACCGTGAGTCGTGCCAGAACAACATTCCTGGGATTCCAACACCGCGAACCAGCGTAACTGCTCGGCCCCGACAATCTGGAACCGTTCCAAAAGGTCTTCTCCTGGTACGGTAGACATGAGGACCAGTAATCATTTTGTAAATTGTTGAAACGAATGCACGCGGCGCTCAGGCGAGAGCCATAGCTTGAAACGGAGCCGCTTTCAATCCGTGAGACACTTGCAACTTTTTGATGCGAATGTACGCGGCCCTAGAACGAGAGCCACATTTTGGACAAGAACCGACCTTAATCCGTGAAACCTTTTGCAAGTTTCAGGAATGTGCGCGGGGGCTGAAGGCGAGAGCCACGTTTTGAAAACCATCCGCCCTGAGTCCGTGAACCTCTTGCGAAGTTTTGAAACGTGTCTGCACGGCGCTCAGGCGAGAGCCACTTTGTGAAAGCCACCCGCCCTCAATCCGTGAATTTGTTGCCAGCGTTTTAAGCGCCAGGCTCACGGGAAGGACGTTTCAGGCGAAACTCCCAGCCCGCTTTTCGACTGGCATCGGGGTGCGACTGGGAGGAGTTATGCACAGGGGAAAGGAAGAGAGGGAGCGGGGGAGGAGGAGAGGGGGAGGAGGAATGGGAGGAGGAGGGAATGGGCGTCCGAGCGATGGCAAGGGAAGGGTGAGGACGGGAGGGTTCCCCCCCCCCCTTCACACCTCCATCGGGGCAGCCAACCGCTCGCCCTCGGCTGATCACCCGTGGGTCTGCCGAGGGTGGGGGGCCGTCGGGGAGCGTGGCCTCTGCCCTCTCTCGTCCGCGTGCTGCTTCCGTGCTGCTTTCGGGGCCGACGAGGTTCGCTTCTTCCGTACGTCGGGTCCGCGTCCTGCCGACCGGCGCCGACCCCGCCGCGCCGGTTTCAGCGCGGAACGCCGCCGGCGACCCAGAACGGGTCGAGGTTGAATGATCTGACGTTCCGGAAAGGGCCGATCGTTCAAGGCTGATCTATCCACGCGGTGTTAGGAAGTCAGAGAGTACAGTGGAGATCCATGCCGAGAAACATCCTGCTCTCCTCCAGGTTGCCCTGGGTTTCTTGGATTTCGATGGTTTCGCGATGGAGACCGTGACGTTCCCACACCAAACATCAATGGCCGTCCTGGGATCTCAGGGTTGGGTTGCTTGCGGAAGGTTTCTCGCGGTCGGGCCTCCCATGGAACGCCGGGGTCGTCACGACGCGAACCTGTCGTAGCCGATCAGGACGGGCTGATTGGGCCGATCGGGCTCCGCGTGCGCGGTGTTGCGTGCCGCCACTCCTGTCGCATGGAGACCAGCGGCCGCACGCAGAACAACTGCGAGCAACAGGTACGGTTGTGGACGACGATCAGTGGAGAGGAAGCATGTTACCAAATAGTCTTCAGATGTCTGCCATCTGTTTTAGACATGTCTTAGACATGTTAAAAAACATGTTTGGGACAGTTGTAGAACATGGTTCACATATTTTAAACCATGTTTAGTTCAGTGATAGGACTGCCAGGGGTTCCATTGTCATGGCATCCACAGAGGTACGGCAGTTTCGCGTCGTGCCGACTCGGCGGCGACCCCGCCGCCTGCGTTCGAGGTGAAGCGACGCCGGTGGCCCAGGATCGGCCAGTGCGGAACGATCTGGCGATCGCAGGGTCGCCGACCGTTCGAGGTAGAACGATCCACGGCCTGTGAGAAACCGGCCTGGGAGTCGTCACGACACGAATCTGCCGTAGACAGAGAGAGATAAGCAAGAAGAAAAATATAGAGAGAGAAGTAAGGAGAGAGGGAAGAGCGAGAGAGAGAGAGAGAGAGAAACATATGGAAAGAGGGAGCAGTAGAGTTCACACCAGAGCACTGGCGTCACGTAGCACTTTTTCCTTATGCCTCCCAGAAGAGTGCAGACTGCAGTCGTTTTCCCTGCGGCTCTCAGAACGTGTTCAGCTGGCACGCTGTGAGTGAGCGGGCAGGCAGTCTTACGCTGTCCCTCTCTCCGCTGCTGAAGCGACACGGTGCGGGGCGGGTTCTGCCTCCTGGGCCACAGTACTGGACCTAGACGCTGTCTTGCTGGACTTCGGCTGTGTCTAGTTCTTCGTTTCGGCAGGGAGGCACAGGGACAGCATGCAGAGCAAGACGAAACACCAAACGAACACAGAGCGAAACAAAACGTTTAGGTCCAGGCCTGTTGGGCCATTTTGATAGGGGAACGAACAATGACATAAACATAACAACTCGGAGGCCCACGCGGATTTCTTGGATCGGCGCTGGACCCCCTCCCTGGCGCGTGGAGCGCGCCAGGGGCGGCGCCGGAGGCGCCGCCAGGGGGGCCCCAGCGCTGATCCGAGAGATCCGCGCGGACCTCCGAGTTGTTATGGTTATGTCATTGTTCGCTCCCCCATCAAATGGCCCAACAGGGCTGGACCTGAACGTTTTGCTTCGCTCTGTGTTCGTTTGGTGTTTCGTCTTGCTCTGCCTGCTGTCCCTGTGCCTCCCTGCCGAAACGGAGAACCAGACACAGCCGACGGTCGACGGCTGCACCGCGGCGCTCGCGCCTGCTTCGGTCGAGGCCCGCCCGTGAGCCCATCCGCTGCGCCCGCCCGGCCTCCGCGGGCCGGGCCCGTGCCGCGCCCGCGCGGCTCGGCGGCCCCGCCGCGGGCGACAGGGGGCTCCCAGGGGCCTCTCCGGTTAAGTCGGGCGTGTCCCCCTACAGTCGGGGGCGGCAAAGAGGGGGGTGATGACTAGGGGGGGGTGGATATCATGGCGGGGGCCATGATATTTCCCCAGATTTCATGGCGCCTCTTCTTATTTCATTACGTCCCTGGCCCCCCCGCTGGGCCGTGCACATGCCGCTGGTCATGATTTTCACCCCCCCCTCTTGGACACCCCCCTCTTGGCCGCTCCCGATACAGGGGGATCTTCGACAGTGGGGACTTTTTTGGGGGGTATGTTTTGGCTTGTTTGAGGCATTTTTTTTGTTTTTTCGTCGAAGATCTCACAATGTAGGGGGACACGCCCGGCAAAAGCCCAGAGCCGGACGAAAGGGGGGGGGGATTGGGAAAGGGGGGGGTACGAAATTGGCTGCATGCAGCTGGCTTCGGCCCCACCGGGGGGGGCCCATTCCTCGACACATAGCTGCCTCCGGCGCCGGGAGAATCAGTTACGTTAGCTGATTCTCAACCCCCCCCTTTGCTATCCAAAAGTGCACCAAAAATATACAAAAATAGTCGAAAAATAGCCTGGGGACAATTTTGGGGGATATGGTTTGTCCTTTTTGAGGCATCTTTGGTGTATTTTTTATTTCTCGTCGACAATCCCCCTGTAGGGGGACACGCCCGACATAAGCCCAGAGTCGGCCAGCCCTGGAGCGGCCCGGCGGTCGGAGCGCCAGCGCGCCTTCTCGAGGGTTGGGCGAGAGGCGCGCGGCGGCAGCGCCCAGGTCCCAGGCCGTCACGACACGGGCCTGCCGCGTGTCCTCCTCCTCCTCGTCGTCCTCCTCCTCGTCCTCCTCCTCCCACTGCTCCTCTTCTCTGCCTCTTCTCCTCCTCCTCTCCTCCTCTCCTCCTCCTCTTCTCCTCTCGCACCGCTTTCCCTCCCTGCTGCCTCCTGCCTCTGGCGCGCGCGCAGCGGGGCGTGCCCGCGATCTTTCGCGCTCAAGTGCCCTCTGCTCTTGTTGCTGTCTTCGTCCCACCGTGCTGCACGGTCTACGGCCCGATTCTTCCCGCTTAAACGGGCGCGGCCCACGATCAGCGGGGCCGGGTGGATGCTCGCTCGCTCGTTGCTGTTTTCATTCCCATGCTGTGTATGCAGCCCCCATTGTTTGCCATGGCACTCTCACTGCACGAATCCTTGAACCGCTGCGTGCAGGACGAGGAAGAGGACGACGGGACTCGGCCTATTGTGGGAGTTCCCGCCGCTGTGTTGTGGTTCGGCACCATCGTGACCTTGTTTGCAGGCGCCGCGACCTCTCTTGACCATCCGCTCATGCACTTCCTGCGGGTGGCCTGCTTTTCTGCCCCGCTGCCTGCGACAGGTCCCGCCGCCGTGCCAGCTCGGCACGCCGGGTGGCGACAGTGCGGGACGCCTCGCTTCCCAAGGCTCCAAGACGCCACGCGAGACGGCTGTGACGTGTGACACGGCGTTCCGCGTCGAGCCGGTGTGTCTGTCCCCGCGTTCGTCGTCTTGTTTTTCTCTTCCTCTGATCCCCTCCACTCTCAGAGCCTCTTGGGGGCCGCTTAGGAGCTTCTGTGGGAAAATGCACACAGTGTGTGAAAACACACACACACAGTGTGTGTGTGTGTGGCAAAAACATACAAAAACACAGTGTGTGTGTGTGTGTGTGTTTTCTCCTACAGAAAAAGCACAGTGAATTTCTTTTCCCACAGTGTGTGTTGTTTTCCCACAGTGTGTGTGTGTGTGTGTGTGTGTTTTGTGGTGTGTTCTTTGTGTGTGTGGATGTGTTTTTGTTCCCACATTGTGTGTTTGTTGTGTTTTTTGTCCCACTGTGTGTTTTTTTACCCACGGTGGTCTCTTTGAGGACGTCTTCGGGGCCTCTCGGGGTTCAGTGCCGCCGAGGGTGCCAGCGCAGCGCATGCCTTTGCGCGTTTCGGGGGTTCGCCCTCGCTCGTGCCTGCGGGACAGCACAGCTACCTTTATGTCGGGCGTATCCCCCTGCAGGGGGATTTTCGACGACACATATAAAAAATACACCAAAAAGAGGTTCCAAATGGCCAACAGATACTCAAAAAATAGTCCCCAGACTATGTTTGGATTATGTTCGGATTTTTTTGGGGTGGGGGTATTTTTCATTTTTCGTCGAACATCCCCCTGTAGGGGGACAGGCCCGACTCAAAGCTGCATCGCGATCCGCGTCTAATTTCTTGCAGATTGCGACGAGCTCATCTCTGAGTGTCTCGCATTCGGGAACGGCACAGGAGTCTGCGCGGGCCCTTCGGCAGCTGCCATTTGCGAACGGCAATGTCATCTGTATGATTCTGAGCGTGACCCAGGCGAGCCCCGTGGAGAGTTACGCGGGGGTTGCCGAGAAGCGCAACAATCATAATCATGATGAGTGAACATGTTTCATTCGTGTCTAACTGGCTCATCACCGAATGTTGACGTTCGAGGGACGAGACGGTCAGTTCAACGGAGTGCGCCCACCGCGTGCATGAGGAATCCATCACTGTCTTGCGTATTGATGACGTCTCCGCTTCGACTTCTCTTCATAGGCTGCGCAGGAAGAACGCGGATGCTCCAGAAATGAGCTCTTGCAGGTTGAGTTACGCCTGATAGGAACTCGCTCGTGATGATAGCATGATCTGCTGCGGTGTCGAGGGTTGTGGGTGAATTTTGCTGTGATCCTGGATGGGAAGGATATTATGAGTTTGCCCTTTGCGTCCCTACGACGGGCCTTCCCAGTTGCTTTATGCGGAGGCCAGCATACCACGCATGATCTGTGCATACTGCCAAACGTAGGCGCGGCAGGCTGTCGCTTCACGCCTGGAGATGGTGATGTCGACGATACTATCTGTGGTGGTGTAGAGTGTGCCGGCAGAAACGCGCCCTGATCCTCGGCTGTTTCCGAGATGGGGCCCAGTTGGGAATTGCTCAGAACAGGCGCAAGCAGTTGTCACTTGCACGATTTTCGTGCACGTGTTGCTCACTCGTTAGTCGGTCGTCGCTTCACTGGAGAACGCATCGACTGGCTCGCGACAGGAACGATAACATCCCGCATGCATTGTTTCGGTCCCTTTGAGGTTGCCACGACAAACGCTGTAGCGGCTGCTGGTTTATGCGCTACCGTTTGTTGTCAAGAATTGAATGCGAATTCGCACCCGCGTCGGAAACAAAACAGCACAAAGCTATCGATCGTTTGGTTGCATGTACTCTTGATGTCTAGATTCTAGCGGTGCTCCTCCTCGGGGCGAACCATGCCATTTACGTTGACAGATGATCCCCAAGGAGTGCTTGCTTTCAGGGATTCCTACTTGCTGCGCCAAGAATCAACTTACATTTGCTGGTTCTCGCCTAGTTGCCGCCCGCTCGCCGCTTCGTCGCCGCCCCGTGCTCAGGCACGCGCAGTGTCGAGGGGGGAGTTTGGGGGAGTGGCGAAGGCTTCTTAGAAGCAGCCTTGCTTAGAATCAGGCGATCGCAAACATGGATCAAGGGGGCGCTGATTAGCGACGGGTCCCGCTTCCATGGGAAATCGCGGATTTCCACTGCCGAGCGAGGTGTCACCGCCCGCATTTTGGGGAGGGCACCTCCCCCGACCCATGGATTTAGCGACCGCGCGCCAAATCCATGAATCGCTAATCCATGTTTGCGCGCCCCCCGATAGAAGGCGCGGGCCTGATCTGTAGATGTCAGGCCGGCGCCTTCTGAGAAGAAGCCTCCTTCCAAGAAGCCTTCCCCCCTCTGGGTTGCGTTTCCGGGTTTGCGCCCGCTGGCCGCCCGTCCGCCGCCTGGCTTGGAAGTTAGCAGCCGTGCGGGGAAGTGCACAATCTTCGAGTGGGTGCGCAAGGGATGAGGGGCCCAGGAGTTCGCAGCCATGCGGGGAAGTGCACCATCCTCGCGCGGGCACGCGTGGAATCTGGGGGTTCAGGCAGTAGCTGCCTGGCGGGCCGTGCGCCATCCTCGCGCGGGCACGCGTGGAATCTGGGGGTTCAAGCAGTTGCTGCCTGGCGGGCCGTGCGCCATCCTCGCGCGGGCACGCGTGGAATATGCGGGTTCAGGCAGTAGCTGCCTGGCGGGCAGTGCGCCATCCTCGCGCGGGCACGCAGTGCACCATCCTCGAGCGGGCGCGCACGAAATGAGGGTCCAGGCAATAACCGCCACGCGGGAAGCGCACCCTCCTCGAGCGGGCACGCGTGGAGTGGGGGTTCAGGCAGTGGCTGCCCTGCGGGAGCTGCACCATCCTCGAGCGGACACGAGGGAAGCGGCTTCGTCGGTAAGCGGGCGGGGATGCACGCAACAGTCTGCTGGTGGAGGGAGGGGCGGTCCCTTCTCAGAGCCCTACCGGACAGACCTTGGCAGCCTTCCACGCCTCAGCGTGCAGGAGGGAACGGTGGCGGATCACCACTCATGTGCATTTCGGCATCGCAGTGACGGACTGGGCGGGGTCCACTTCTGGCAAACATGCCAATGACAGTGGGAATGCTGTTAGCGTGCGACATGAGCGACTCCACCTCGTGGCATGTCCGAGAAGGTACGTGTATGAAGACGCATGTGATAATGGAACTCTTTGTTTAGAAGTTGCGATTGAGAGCGTCCAGCAACCCACCGCAATGTTGGACGAACGACGGACGGAAGTGTTACACGGGAGAAGGTATACATGCCATGGCATCGGTCTGAATATCAGTGGTGGTGTTGATGAGGGTGATTGTGCGCTCGTGCTTCCCGTGCGGGCGGATGTACGCATGCCAAAGAGTTTCTGCCCGTTCCGAGTGTTCTCGACCACGATCATGGGCAGCTACTCTTCCACCCCCTTCGAGAAGGAGCCTCAGCCCGCGTTCTCGTCGCAGACCTTTCATGGTCTCAGCGGAACGCCTGGCCCATCACAGCCATCCCCCCCGCCGCCGCCGGTTGCCACCACAACCTGCGCTGCCGCCAACGCCAGAAATCCCAGCCTTGTTCGGGCGCGACCTCAGCTCATCCAGCTCTCTTACTCCAGAGGCTTCGTGAGCACCGCCCGTCGCGTTTGATGCTGGCACTGGCTTGTGCTAGTGCGTCATCGCAGGCTGGCTCCGAACCAGCCCGCGACGACACCAGAAACGTCCAATGTGGAGCCCCGGCGACCCGAATCGGGTCCAACACGGCTTCAAAACATGGCGGACGTGTTCAAGGACACCTCATTGGGTTCTTTTCTAGCCGAAGGCCCTCCAGGGCCATGTTAGGGCGTCTCTTCCACAGGGGCCGAACATCGAAGATGCAAAGCACGGTCGCACAACACTACTTTCGTTCAATTATCAGGGTTCTCATTGATAGGTTGTTTGGGCTGCTCTGGGGCCGTTCTGAAGCCATCTTCGGGGCTTTTGGGTGCCATACCGAACATGATATTGGGCCCACTTGTGCTATCGTGGAGGCTACCGTGGGCTACACCGGGCCATCTCGGGGTGGTCAGTGGGCAGGCACGTGGCAAGGCAGAGCAGGTTTGTTGATGAACCCGGTGCGTCCCCAATCGCGATTCTTCAATTCTTGAGACCTTGGATTAGTTGGTAGGTGCATCTCGTCACAGCGTAGCCTAGGCATTGATACAAGAGCATGCCACTGCATGACGTGCATATTGTTCAAATAGCGTGCTGTCGCATATCGTAGCGTGCCATGCGTAGAAACGACCCATGTATTCTATTACGTAGCTTCCATCTCAGTATCACAGCGTGGTATGACATTTCGCACTGTTCCATCCCGTTGAATTTGACATGATGTGATTGCATAGCAACGCACTGCATGGCACCCCATTGCATCGAACGTCATTGCGAAGAATGGTACCATACACCGTATCGTGGCGCATCATAGCATGCATGGCATCACGGCGTAGAATGCAGAGCCACGCACCCAAGGGCCCAGCCCAAGACCCGACGCCGTAATTCCCATGAGCCATTGGGCGTTGCGTAGTGGGAGGGTCATGGGGGGGTGGCGAAGGTGGTCCAAACAGGTACCGAGCACGGGCGATAATAAAGTACCCCCCCTTTCCCCCCTCTATTTTTTATTCCCGACCACAGGGATCTATATGTGGGGAGGGAGCGGAGGCCGAACTTTATAATCCACGGGAAAGTTGCGGGGATCGAAGTTGCTATCGTATCATGTTTGATTAGCAACAGCATCAAACACGCTGAGCATGGCCATGATGATCTCACCACACCAGCGTCCGCAAGCACGGGCGTGTGGCAGGGCTGAGGGATTCTCACCACTTCAGTTTGCCTACGTTACGAGTGTGCGCCAAGGCCGTGGGATTCTGATTGTCCTAGCCGCTCCCGAGTCACGAACGTGTGGCAGGGCCAAAGGGACCGATTGGGAGGAGGAGGAGGAGGAGGAGGAGGAGGAGGAGGAGGAGGAGGAGGAGGAGGAGAGGGGGAGGAGGAGGAGGAGGAGGGAGAGGAGGAGGAGGAGGAGGAGGAGGAGGAGGAGGAGGAGGAGGAGGAGGAGGAGGAGAGGACAGGTGGAGGAGGACAGTGGGAGGAGGAGGGGACGGAGGAGGAGGAGGGGAGGAGGAGGAGGAGGAGGAGGGGAGGAGGGGGAGGAGGAGGAGGGAGGAGGAGGAGGAGGAGGAGGAGGAGGAGGAGGAGGAGGAGGAGGAGGAGGAGGAGGAGGAGGAGCAGGAGGAGGAGGAGTGAGCTCGGTGGGAATCGCCGACCCCTGTCGCTTGGGAGCCCAGAGGTCCCTCTCGATACACAGCAGGCTCGGCAACCGGGCAGCCCAAGGTGTGGGGGGGACCGCCAAGGGTTCCGTCGGGCACGCCCCTCTGCAGGAGGAGTACTCAACGAAATTACAACATATTCTGCGGACAAATGTTCGATTATTTTGTTGGCAGTGTGTGGGCATGTTTTGATGTTTCCCCATTTCTTAGCCAGACTCCGCCTGCAGGAGGACACGCCCGACCTGTGCCAAGGGGCATATGACGGGTGCGGGGATGTCTCGAGAGCGAGGCGCTCGTTTGCACTCCCCAGCTCCTGTCTTTTGAGAGTCTCGCGGGGCTCCAGGGACGAGGGGCAGAGCAAACGGGGGTCAGCCAGATCGCCGGACCCTGCAGGATGTTTGCAGGGCCAGGGTGCGCCGACCCGGGTTGGGGTGCAGGATCCCGCAGAATCCTGCAGGATCTTGCATTAAGTCGGGCCTGTCCCTCTACAGGGGGAATATCCCCAAATAGTCAAACAATAGTCTGGGGACTATGGTTTGGAGTATTGTTTGACCATTGTGGAGTATGTTGGGGGTATTTTTTTATTTTTCGTCGACAATTCCCCTGTAGGGGGACAGGCCCGACTTAAATCTTGCAGGATCTTGCAATGCCAGACTGACCCGGGTGTGCACTGACCCTGGCCAGTAGATGCCCGAGTCTCATGACATTTTGGGTCCGTCTCGGGGCCCTTTTTTGGCCGTCGTGCAGCGATCTTGGTGGCCTTTGGGTCCGTCTTGGGCGTTCTCAATCAAGCTCGAAAGCGAAAGAAGACGACCGTCAGTAACACCTCACCGTTTGCGATTATTGTCGGCCCTCGACGGCTCATTGGAGGTGCTCTGTGGGCCATCTTCAGCTGCCTTGGAGCTGTGTTGGGCCGTCTTGAGGCCATCTTGGCAGTCTTGGAGGCCATCTTGAACCGCTTTGGAGGCCATATAGGGCCACTTTGGCCGTCTTTGAAGCGCCTTGGAACCGTCTTGGATACCACATTGTTCAACCTTTGGCAGTCTTGGAGACGTACTTCTCGTATTTTCCCAAGATCTCTGCGGGCTGGCTCCTTGGGCCGAATGCCATTGCGAACTGTTTGGGGAGAGCCAACAATAAATTCGCACTTGACACGCCAAGCACCCCTGTGGAAATCACAGGGGGCGGCGGATAGATCGAAGATGCCTACAGCGAACAGCCGCCGCCTCTTTTTTTTCTGGAATTGCTAATGTGGCCAAACGTTGCGCCAAAGTTTGGCGAACCTATTTGATTATGTGCTCCCCCCAGCCGCTGTGGAGGCCAGTGGGGGAATCGTTGAGAGACGCATAGGGAGAGGATGAGGAGAGGGAAGAGAAGGAGGACGAGGATGAGAAGGCCTCCTGGGATCCTCCTCGGGCCTCCTGGGGGCCTCTTGGGGGCCTCTGAGGGGCTCTCTTCAACCGTCGGCCACCTTTGGATGCCATCTTGGAGGCCTGTCTGGGCTGTCTTGGGCCCCTCTTGGGGCGCTGTATGGCCGTCGTTGAGGTCGCTTGGGCCGTCTTAGTTCGGGATCTCTTGGGGCAGTCTCGGAGGCATCTTGACCCGTCCCAGGGCTCTCTTGAGGGCTTCTCGGGGCGCCTTGGGGCTATCTTGGAGTCCCCTCGGCCGTCGTCGGCTGTCGGAAACCCGAAGAGTTCAGAACGCGAAATTGATTGGAGCACTTGCTGGGAATCTGTGACTGTTGCCTCCTCGGTTGGAGGCCCCTTGGGCCCTCCTGGGGCGTATTGAAGGTCATTTTTGGGTCGGCACGGGCCACTGCATGGCCATCTTGGCCATATTGGAGGCGTGTTTTTTTATTCCATAAATATTCCAGGTGGCCGGCTGGATGGTCCGAGATCCCGCTGGGAACCTTTTGGACGGGCCCAAAAGAGCTCAAACATGTGGCAGGTCAAGCATTCCTTGCGAACAAAGGGGTCGTGTACAGGAGGCCTCTCAGAGACCTTTCTTTGGAGGTCTCTCGGAAGGCCTCTTTGGGCTTCTTGGTGGTCTCTGGAAGGCTCCTTGTCTTGGGAACCTCTTGAGGTCTCTTGGGGCTTCGTGAGTGTTTCTTGGGGCCCTCTGGGGGCCTGCTCGGGTCCTCTGGATGGCCCCCCTGCTGGTTTCGGGGGCCACCCTGGGGGAACTTCTCGACAAGTCAGTTCGAATTCCCGCTCCTGACCTCGTGGTCCCCTCTTGGGGCCGTCTTGTGGGCCTTCGTAGGCCCACGACTCCCGAGGAGGAGGAGGAGGAGGAGGAGGAGGAGGAGGAGGAGGAGGCCCCTCCTGGTCCGGGACAAGGCCGGAGACCACACCTCAGGCCACGCCGGAAGAGCGACATGCCAGCCACGCTCCCGAGGCCTCTGACCAGGTCGCGCGAGCCGCCCTGGCAGCGCCCGAGGGCGCCCTCGAGTGCGCGAAGTTATTCGCGCTTCGCGCTTCGCGGTTCGGCTCCGATTCCTCCTCATCCTCCCCTTCTACCCTGGGAGGCGGCGCGAGAGCGCGAAGTTATTCGCACTTCGCGCTTCGCGCAGCGCGAAGCGCGAAGTTGGGAGCCCTTGCAGCGCCCGAGAGCGCCCAGGGGCGCGAGTGAATCTGGGCCCCTGGTGCGGGCAAGATTCATGTCCATATCCAGTGCCTCTTGGACTTTTTGGGAAGCGGCGCCACAAGGCCGAGGCGCACGGGATGTGGATAAAAATCGAGCCTCTAGGGGCCAAATTTGTCCATATCCAGTGCGCCTCGGGCTTCTTGGGAAGGGAGCCCGAAACTCCATACTGCAGTGGATTTAGACAGAAGTATTGCCCGCACCTGGGGCCCCTGGAGGCTACCGCGCCGGTGCCCAGCGCAGAGAGCTCGACGGTGGCGAAGTGCCGGCCGTGGCCGGCGCTTCGCCGGGCACGCGGCGGCCGCCGTCGCCAGGGGATTGGGGAAGGGCCGTACGTGGCGCCCGGCACGCCGACGCAGATCCAGGAAATTCATTGTGTCTGTGTGTCGGTCCCCCTCCGGATTCGAGTGCAGCCTGGAACATATCCCTATCCCTACTCTGTGCCCCTCAATAGTTCTGGGGGTACCTGTAGTCCGGGGACGGTACCTGTAGTCCGGGGGAGGGGTACCTGTAGTCCGGGGCGGGGTACCTGTAGTCCGGGGGGGGTACCTGTAGTCCGGGGGAGGGGTACCTGTAGTCCGGGGGGGGGGTACCTGTAGTCCGGGGGAGGGCGCGTGCGGGGGTACCTGTAGTCCGGGGGGGGGGGTGCGCGTTCACGCATCAAAGCACGCGTAAATGTCTACGCGCGCGAAACTGCACGCGCATCGTTGCACACGCCACGCGCGCACGTATACACATGCGCGCACACGCTCGCACGCGCGCGCACACGCAAAAGCACGCGCGCATGCACGGAAGCACGCATGCAGACACGCGCGCTCACGCGCAACACGCGCACACACTCGTACCACGCACACGCGCGCACAAACGCACGCGCGCGCACACGCTCGCACACACGCACACGCACACGCACACACACGCACACACGAACACACTCGCACACAGACTCACACGCACACCCTCGCACACACACACACACACATTCACACACACACAAACACAAACACAAACACAAACACAAACACAAACACAAACACAAACACAAACACAAACACAAACACAAACACAAACACAAACACAAACACAAGCACAAACACAAACACAAACACAAACACAAACACAAACACAAACACAAGCACAAGCACAAGCACAAGCACAAACACAAACACAAACACAAACACAAACACAAGCACAAGCACAAGCACAAGCACAAGCACAAACACAAACACAAACACAAGCACAAGCACAAGCACAAACACAAACACAAACACAAACACAAACACAAACACAAACACACACACACACACATTGGCGAACTGCGCCTAAGTAGCATGGGCGGCATTGGGCAGAAACACTCCAGGCGGATCGTTTCGGCTCGGATGGGGTAGACAACTCGGGTGGCCGTGTAGCTTCAGGGGGCACGTGAAGCTTCGGGGGGGTACCTGTAGTCCGGGGGGGGGTACCTGTAGTCCGGGGGAGGGTACCTGTAGTCCTGGGGGGGGGTACGTGTAGTCCGGGGGGGGTGTACCTGTAGTCCGGGGGAGGGGTACCTGTAGTCCGGGGGAGTGTACCTGTAGTCCGGGGGGTACCCGTAGTCCGGGGACCCAGAACTATTGAGGGACACAGAGTATGCTGGGCACCTCCTCATCACGATGCCAATCTCAGGGGTTCCCTTATTTCTTGAGGGCGAGAATCCCTAAGATTGTCATCGCCTTTTGGCGTGTCAATCTTAGGGATAGGGACACGTTCGAGGCTGGTAAACACTCCTCTCCGTGCCTCGGGGCGCGGCGGGCGCGTCTCGGGGTGCGCGCCGCCAAGGGTCTAGCAGGGGCGAAGCGTCCTGGCGTGCCGACCCAGCCCCACCGAACGATGTTCTAAGGACCTTGCGTGGTTTCCACGGAGTGTTCTTAGAACATGTCTGGCGGAGTCTGTCTTGTTTCATCACACCGGGTTCATGTTCTAATAACAGTGCTTTTGGTAGAACATTTTTGCGTTCTACGAACACTTCGTGGTAGGACTTCCGGAATGCCGGGACGGTCGGTCCCTGCTCAAAAAGGACCAACCGGACCCGATAATTGGCGTTTGTGAAACTCGAAGAAGAAACAACAAGCATGAAGATAAACTTGTGTGGCGCCGTCGGCGTCGTCGTCGTGGACGTCGTCGGCGTTTGCGTCTGCGTCTGCGTCGTCGTCGACGTCGGCGTCGTCGTTGACGTCGGCGGCATCGTCGTCGCCGTGGCCGTGGTCGTAGTCGGCGTCGCCGCGGTGGTCGTCGCAGTCAAGATGGTCGTTGTCCTCGTCGTTGTCGTTCGTCATCGTTGTCGCAGGCGCTCTCGGGCGCCGACCCGCCCGCATGAAGTTTCGGAGCGCTTCGAGGTGGGCGAGGAGAGTGGCATCTCATGTCTGGGCCACGGGCCTTGCCTCGTGACGGGTACCTAATTGACCCCAAAGGGGGGTCCAGCAAAAAGGGGGTGGTGCAATAGACAATAGATTCGGTGCAATAGATCTGCGGGGTTGCAGCTGATTTGGGGTTTGCAATGCATTCCCGTGCGCAAGTGTACTGCTGGATGTTCGTGTGCAATGCACTAGCTGCGATCCAGTGCAATGCAATTCTCTGACGCAGTACATTTGCAAGACAATTGCCCCAACTCTCTTGCACCACCCCGTTTCAGCTGGACCCCCTTTTGGGTCACGAGGAGAGCAGGAGGCTGGAATAGTACCTCTTCGCCCCCCGGGCGCTCCCACGCTCCAATTGCGTGAGATCGTACTTCGTCGCCCCTCCCTGGGCGTTGCCGCGTGGCGAGGGTATTGGAAACGTGCCTCGGCTCCCCTGGCGCTGCCGCGTGAAATGAACACAGAATCGTACGTGCTTCTGCCCCGGCTGCCTTGCCACGTTGCGCATACAAAAGCATGGTAATTGTTCCTTCGCCTTCCAGGCCCTGCCACGAGCCGAGTGGTGCGGGATACTTGAGTTTTCATTCCCCAGCCGTTGCCACGGGGCGAGTCGAGAGGCATTGTTTTTTCCGCTGTGTGGCCCTTGCCGCGTGACGGATCGACAGGACAACTTTGTTTTCACCCTATCCTCCAGGTGTTTCCCCATTGCGAGAAGAGTGAGATAGTATTTCTGTCGCCCCTCCAGGGGCTACCACGTGGCTGGTATGCTGGAATATTCGTTCAGCCCCCAGGCGGTGCCGCGTGACGCGAGTAGCGGCATCGTGTTTGTTTCCGCCCGTCCTGCGTTCCACATGGTGCGGAGCACTGCCGAAAGACGAGTACAGTCCACCTTCATATGAATTAAGGATTGGCATTTTCCAAGAGTGCGCTTGCATTCTTCCCCCTCCTCCTCCTCCTCCTCCTCCTCCTCCTCCTCCTCCTCCTCCTCCTCCTCCTCCCCCTCCCCCTCCCCCTCCCCCTCCTCCCCCCTCCTCCTCGTCCTCTTCCTCCTCCTCCTCCTCGTCCTCCTCCTCCTCACGGGTCGGCCACGCGCAGAGGAGTGTGTGGGGGGAAGGGGGGAAGGCTTTGTATACGCACCCCTTCTTCTTAGACGGCGCGGCCATGATCTATAGATTCGAGACCGGCGGTTTTCTTAGAAGCAGTCTCTTTTAAAAAGAAGCCTGCCCGCTCCGTAGCCATTTTGGTTCAAGACATTGTGGCAAGTCTTCAGGCATTTAGAGCACTTAGTTTGTGCCTATTGCCGCCAAACCCTTGTTACTCCGCTGTTGCCGCAATGAACGTCGTGGTGCTTGCAGGAGCGTTCGCCATCCTGCTCGTCGGCCACGGCTGCGTCGCCGCCGACGACCTAGCCAAGACTTTGTGGGAGCGCCGCCTGATGGAGGACGACTTGCACAACTGCGACGCCACGAGCGAGGCCGACGGCGTGGGGCTGCTCCAGTCACGGACGTCGGGCCCCAGCCAAGACGCAGGACCACAAACAATATGAGGAGGCGAGAGTGGAGGATGTACCGATCGATGCCGTGCTAGCTCTATGGTCCTCCTCTCTGCCCCGATCGTTTCAACGTCTTGCCCGTTCGAGCGAGAACTTGCGCGCTTGCTTTTTTGTTCCGCTCCCTCACCTCCTTGCGCGAGCCGCCGGGTGAGGTCATTGCAAATGGGGTCGGAGGATCGCGCCGCATCGCCGATGCACCGCCGACGCGTCTCGCGAGCCGACGCGTAAGTTCCACTCTGTCTTCATAGCTCCCATGTCTCAGGGCCCCATCTTCGGTATCGCTCAACCTGTCCCCATCCCCACTGGTCCATGGCATCTCGGCCCCACCATCCAGCCACCCCCCTGTTGGGGGCAGGCCCCGCGAAGCGGGAAGGGAGGGGGCGAATCGGCCAGTAGGTCCCAGGCCACGCCGGTTGCGGTAGGGATGGGTTTAATTCGGACGGGGCTACGACGAGGATCCATCCTGTCCAGAGCGTTCTGGAACGCTCTCAGAGCGTTCCCGAATGCTTTGAGAAGGCCGCGGCGCCCGAAACGTCCTCCAGAGTCGCCAGGTCTCAGAGATTCTCGATTTATCCTCGCCCGATGTTGTCCTTTTCCAGGACCCCGTTTGTGGGGTGCCGAGGGCCTTTGGTTGCTTAGCAGACGGGCGCTCCCATAGAAGGGGGGCGAGCTGTGGGTCGGGGGGAGTCGCGGGCACCAGACTGCGGTGCGCAGGGTTTGTTGCGCAGAGGGAGGTGGAAAAGGAGGGGGGGGAGGAGGGGGGAGGAGGAGGAGGAGGAGGAGACCGTAGCCATTTTGGCTCCAGCGATTTGGGCCCAAGGTTTGGGCCTGAGCACGCGCGCGAGGGCACATCCGTTACTGAATTAACCTCTTGCCCATCAGAGTTCCGACCTCAGGCGAACAGAGTGCCGCGCAGTTTCATCTGCGTTTCTCTTTCTTGCTGCGACGAGCGAGGACGTGCCAGTCGAGGCCTCCTGGCACAGACGGGCGAGACATCAGCGCTCGTGGGCCAGGGCGTTAGTCAGATTTGGGAAAGCAGCGAGTTTGTTAGAAGGGCATCATTTTTCGCAGAGCAGGAAGACGGATCCCATGGGCTGGCGTAGAGATGGGTCCCGAGGCGCAGCACCGCGTCAAGCTGTGGCATCAGGGGCGCAGCATTATTCGCAGTGGGGTTCAGATGAGAGGCTGGCTGCGCCCTGGCGAACGCAACAGTCAGGCAGAGGCAAAGGCAAAGGCAAAGGAAATAACAAGACAGATAATGACTGGGACTGGGAACGGTGGGAGTGTGACCGCCAGCTGCCCGTGGTCCCAGAATCGAAGTTGAAACGTGGATGGCGTGGCTGCGCCAAGAATTTGGAGGGCATGGACGTTTGCAAGCACTGCCGCCACAATCGGACTGATGCCGCAACGAGCCTCAAGCAGCTGTCTCTTCGTGATGCTCCTTCTGCTCCTGTCCCTGCGGGCATCCTTCGGACACGCTCATCCACGCCAACAGGGGAACATCCACCTGCAGGTGGCCGAGAGTGTAGTCGAGGTACAAGCGGAGCGCGACTTCGGCAGGTCAGCTTCGAAGCGGGTCGCCAAGGTCGAGGCACAGCGCCCACTGTCAGTGTGCAGGATTTGCAGCGCCTCGTTGGGTGCCCAGAGAAAGCTGGGGATGCAGAGGGCGCAGCAGGGTATCGAGACCAGCTCCAGAGGCTTCAGGCTGCTCAGGTGGCACCTCCAGCTCGAGAGCGAGCGACCCAAGTCCATGCTCGCATGCAGCGTTTGGAGAACACCCTCAGCGATGAGCGGGACAAGCTGGAGCGATTTGAGATGCAGTCATAGCAGCAGGGACGTGTTGTACAAGAGATACAAGTTTCGCCCAGTGAAGCAGATGCTGAGCATCGTCATCTGGTCGCCGAGATTGCCAAGGCTGGGGGCATTCAACTCGGAAGGGGGCCCCCTGTGCCAGCCAAGATCTCGATTGACAAGGTTGACAGTGCGGCAGCGGCCACTGTCACTGACTTGTTCGATATCTGCAGCTTTTTTTATGGACGTCGCGGACTCCGAGTTGCCACTGGGCGATGCCAAGCAGCTCGAGGACCGCAAGAAGGCGCTGCATCACGAAGGATTTGTTTCAGAAGGCGCTGAAGGGCGGAACATCACGAGCACCTTCGACGTTTGCAGCGGAAGCGCGCTCGAGCCGATGCACCTGCAGGTCAACATGCACTAGCGCCCGGCCGCCCGCCACCCAGTGCTGCAGGAGAGCCAGCTGGCGCAGGCGTCAGGCCTGCTGCCGCTGGACCTCCCGGCGCATCGCCCGCTGCCGCCCCAGGGGCAGCCACGGGGCCCTCTGGCCCAGGACCTGCGGCTACGGTTTCCTCGGGCCCGCCAGGATCCGAAGGGGGGGGGCGGCGGCGAGGCCGGCGCAGTCGCCAGCGGCGTTCGAGGGCGCGCCGCTGTCGCGCGTAGCGGCAGCGAAGACGGCACGCGCGACGCCAATGCCTCGGGGGGCTTCCTACCCGACTCTTGCGTGATCCCCCTCTAGTCGGCAATTTTTCTTTTCCAGGGGGGCGCCCGTGCGATTCCAGTTTCGCGCGCCAATGAGCGTTGGAGGCTCTCTAAAGGTCGACAGTCGGAGTGGTCCTCCCCCGCCATGTTGCGCGCAGTGGGGCGCTGGGGGCTCCAATTTTCAATCGCGGCCGACTTGTCCAGACATCTTAGCGAAGCGCGGGGGGCCTGGCCTTTGGGCGAGGGGCCCAGGGTCACCCGATTTTTGTTTGATTCTGGAGTGTCGGAGCCTGTGGATCTCCGCGGGCCATCTGGGGGTTGCATCTGGGGCAAGGGGTCCTCGCGCAGCCGCCAGGGGCCACGCGTTGCGCCGCTGCTAGAGGATGTTTCTGAGCCGCCTTCCAACTTTACGCCTGCCCCCACAACGGTTTTCCAGCCCGTCGAAGCTTGGTCCAAGTCGGGTGGGTTGCGGCGCGGCAAGGCAACTTTCAAGCTCGAAACATGTTGCAAAATTCTCCCTGGCGTTCGATGCTGCGGCATTTGGGCAGGGGGGCCGACGCGTCTGCGGCGTTGCTGCGGGGGCTCACTCTTGACTCCAAAGATAGTATCGACGGGGAGGCCAAAGTCCGAAAGCCAGGTTGGAATGCCTGCCTCCACCCTTCATCTGCCACCGCGCAAGGTCCTCCATAGTCCTCCCCGATGCTGCCCCACCTGGGTGAACGCTTTCATCCCAGGTGGCTATGTCGCAGGCAGTATTTTTCTTCCGCGAGGATCTTCGCCAGGACTTGGGCACTCGCTCATCCTTGCTTGCGTGGGCGAGGTCTTGCACTCGTTTGGCACCCCCTTCATCCTGGCGGGTGATTGGCATTTGGGGCCCAAGAAGCTTGCTGATTTTGAATGGCTTCAGAAAGTACACGGCATCATTGTTGCGCCTGACGCGCCCCCCTGCCGATCCACGGCGCGCCGATGGAGGGCAATCGACTATTTCGTGATTTCCAAAGGGCTTGGGCCTTGCGTGGCCAGCTGCAAGCGCAACGAGACTGCCGCGACGGCCCGCACTGGTCTGTCGGCCTCACTTTGAAGGGGGGCCCGTTGGGGGCCAAGCGTTGGGTGGTCACCGAGCCGAAGGCCCTGCCCGAGGAGATCCTCGCGGGGATGCGACCGCAGGCCCCTGACGATCAGCAGCTGTTCGGAAGGGCCCAATTTGGAGGTGCGCTTGGGGATGTGAATCGAGTCGTCTTGGGCTTCCTGGGCACCTTCGAGTCCGAGTTGCCCGGCATTTATAAGGTTCGTGATCCGCCAAAGTATGGTGGTAGGCATGGACAGTGATTGCTCAAGCAGGTCGATTCGCTTCGCGCGGCAGGGGGCCCTTCCCCGCTTGGTTGCCCTGAAATCAGAGGCCGGCGACATGTCTCGATTTGGTTCCGGGAGCTGCGTCGCACCGACGCACGTTCGGACACTTGGGGGGGGGAGTCGAAACCATCGGTCTGATCGGCCGCATACTAAAAGGCTCTGGCGCGCTGCGCAAGTCTCCCGACTGGCTGTGCCGGAAGCCAACAGTACGGGGAGATTAATGATCTGTCTCAGCAGCTGGGCTGCTCGCTCGGGGTTTTGAAGCGGGGCGTCGGGCGACGCATTTGGCATAGCGTTCGCGTGCACAGAAAGGGGCCCAATGGCGCAGCTGGGTCGCTGACTCTGTCAAGGCAGGAACCGGGCAGGCCCGCCAGTATACCAGGGCGCCCATTGCTTGGATTCCCAGTAAGTCCCCGGTCGAAGGAAGGATGCCCAGCAAGTTCCCAGTCAAGTCCCCGGTCAGCTTGACGACGGCCGAGATCCGCGAGGCCTCGCAGAAGTTTAAGCGCCGCACAGGTCTTTGTGCTGAGATGCTTCATCCTCAGGATGTGGGGCTGGTTTGTGAGGACGCT